GGTACTCAAGCAAGCGGTGGTATCATGCTTGAAACGGGTGACGGCTTGGCTGGCGCGAGCGGGGCTATCACTCTGTTAGCTGGTGCCAGCTCGGCCGGGGTTGGTAGCGCTGTTACCATTTTGAGTGGATCCAGTGCTCAGTCGACGGGTGGTTCTACAGCTATAACCAGCGGTCAAGGTCTAGCTGGCGGTGATATCGCCCTCACTGGCGGTGTCGGTACGACTGGAAGTGGTGGCAACCTTGTTTTTGCAAGCGGCGCCGGATCTACAACAAGCGGTGGCATCACTCTTTCCACTGCTGGTGGCTCGACAAGCAGTGGTCCTATCGCTCTAGTAACAGCGACGTCAACGGCCGGAGCTGGTGGCGCAATTTCGCTCTCGGTCGGGGGCAGTTCTACGGGAGTTGGAAGCGCTGTCACCATCACGTCTGGAGCCAGCGGTGACGCTCAAGGAGGCTCGACCGCACTGCTGGGTGGTCAAGGCACTTTGGGTGGTCACGTTCAGCTGCAAGCAGGCCAAGGAACGTCGACAATTGGCGGCAACATTGTTCTTACCTCTGGCGCTGGATCAACAACTGCAGGCTCTATCATTGCGCAATTGGGCGCTGCCACAACAGCTGGTTCTTTCTCGGTCAAATCGTCCTTGGGGGCGTCACTTCTGACTCTGAGTCCGCTGCTCTTCACGGGTACGAGTGCGTCGGTAACCTTGTCGTCGACTGCATCAACGATGGCCCTTCAGTCGGCCGCTGGTATTGTTCTTACGGGCACGAGTACGAAGGTCACCGGAGGCACGCTCACGGTTGACTCGCAGAGCTTTCAAATTCTCAATTCTGGTACGGCGACTTTCGTCGTAACCAGTGCCGGTGCCATCACGACCGGGGGTAATCTCGCGTTCACGGCAGACGCGACCATTTCAAGTGTGGCATCGCTCTCAGTATCGTCCACGGCCTTCACGGTCAGTGTTACAGACTCTCTCACACTCGGCTCGTCGTCTCAAACTGCGCCGATTGCTTTGAACGGCCCTATCACAGCTTCCAGCTCTGTCGCTATCGGCACAAGCGCCTCGGTTGGCACCACGCTCACTGTGGCGTCGACTGCAACACTCAGTGGGCTCGTAAAGATTCCTGGTGCCTACTCATCCGCGTCCATCTCTTCGTCGACGTCATGTACACAAGGTGACTTGATCTTTACAGCCGACACGCTCTACATCTGCTACGGCACAACGTTCAGCCGAATCCCGTTCACTGCGTGGGCGTAAGCTGCCCCATTTATAATCTACGTATCATGTATATAATTGATTCATGGTTAACGGTCTGGGCTGGAGAGCACTTGCGGTAGAGTGATCGGGGAAACAAGATGCCGGCGCGGCCACTTAAGTTATGTGAGGAGCCGGAGAAGCTCAACGAGATCCGTTTGCTCGGAGTCTTGGACGAGACACTGCTGCTGGTGGCAGTTTAGCTTTGGCGCAGGATCCAACACGAAGCAAATCAAAACGAATCATGCGCGATTGGCGAATTATCCGGGTTTTTGTCCAATCATGATCGGAAGTTGTTTCATAGAATTTTACGAAGGGTCACAAACGAGTCCCCGCAACGACCATGTCGAAGCGACCCGAGTCGGTGCGCCTGCCAGCCCAACGCGAGGGACACGGCGACGCCTCGCGCCACGCTGGATTAGCTGTTGCGTCCCCCAGTCTCAACCGCCCCGACGACTCCCGCTGGTCGCAGCAAACGCTGCCCACGTGGAAGCCCATCTTGACCTTGTGGTGGACCATCGTGATCCTTTTCGCGAGCGCAATTGGGTGCCTCGTATTGGGCATCCTCATTTGCCGCAGCAGCTCTCAGCTAAGCGTCTACCGCGTATTGTACGACGGCCCGGACCAGCTCGATGCGACGCAGGAGGACGGGTCTGTGGCGCATCTAAGCAACTGCCACGTGTCCTCGCCCGCAGACGCCAACTCGTTCAGTGGCCAACACACGTGCTACGTTACGATCCGCGTCACAAAAGATTTTGTCAGCGATGGTCATCTCTACTACGAGCTCGATCCATTTTACCAAAACCACCGTCGCCTCGTCGCTTCGCAAGAGCCCAGCCAGCTTATGGATATCTGGGCTGCCAACGCCCTCGGCACAACGAACTGCGACCCACTCGTAATGGTCACATCAACCGCGTGCTTCGGTACTGTCTGCAACGGCTCTGAACAATTGCGGCAGCTCTATCCGTGCGGCCTGGTCTCGAATACCATGTTCAACGATATCTTCTGGTATGCGTTGCTCTCTCGACAGATGTGATTGTGACTGTATCAGGCTTCACAATGGATCAGTTCCCAACGGCCCTGCCCTTGGCCACAGCGACCTCACGCACGAAGGTGCGTTTATTCCAGTACTTGCTTACCGATCCCTTCAGGTATTGCCAAGTCATTTCTGACGTACAATGTCAAGAACCCAAGTGGGTCGTTGGATTTGGCAACGTACCTCCCCATTTGGCACAACCCAAACTACAGTCGCATCGTACCGATGCCAGACCGCCCGAACCCTCCTTCGGTAAGTCGCTTTGATTTATCAGCATATTTCGATAGAGCTAAACTAGATTACGCCCGACTACTCCAACAGCACGGCGTGGACAACCACAGCGCCGCCGGGCACCGGACTTGAAAACGAATGGTTCCGCGTGTGGATTGATATCACAGCGACACCGATGGTACGCAAGCTCTACGGCCGCATCGCCCAGGCCAAGTTGCGCAACGGGACTGAACTCACGTTTGCGGTCCAATCCAACTTTTTCTCTGGCGGTAACCCATTCGATGCACACAATTACCTACGCATGCTCGCATAGGCACCAAGTCGCTCGTGCTGGCAGAGCTCGCGTGGTACGGCAGCGAAAACAAGCCGCTGGGTGTCGCTTTCGTTGTCGTCGGCGTGTTTTGCGCGCTGGCGGCGCTTGTCTTCTTTGCCCGAGCGCTGCGGAACCCCCGCAAGCTTGGCGACGTCTCGGCACTTAAATGGAAGCTGCATTAAATCAACAATTGATGTCATCCTGCACCATTGCAAACCGCTCTTGGAGAACGTTCAAAAGCCATGGAACAAACGTCGCGGTGTCGGCGTCCGTAGACTCCATAAGCCTTGCGATCTGATTGCGCGCGTCTGCCGATATCTCGTATTCGGTTTTGCCGAGGGGGCTCACAAGACGGAGCTTTACGTGAAAGCCACGGATGTGACCCGCGTCCGAGTCGAAAAGGCCCCAGAGAAGGGGCAGCGTCACCTCGACAATGTCGATCCAGGCATGCGACGTCACGTCGTGCTGAACGAGAACCACGAATTGCAGATAGTTGGTCGTATCGACCTGGAGCACTACACCAGAGATATGATTCATTCCAAGTCATTGGTTTGTATCGATGTACCTACGGCGTGGGCGCGAATGCTTTCGACGAAGCCCTGTCGCATGCGCTTCTGGTCGTGAAGCATCAACTGGATGCGATCGAGACACGTCTCGAGCGAGCGGTCATCACATAGCACGTCATGCGAAGTATCGTCGTGGTCGAGAAAGGCGTTGGCCCGTGTCAAGGCGAAGCCAAGGCCACAGCCGATGCGGATGCAATGGCCCGCGACGCGCAGCTCTATCTCGATTTCGCTTGACCCAAAGAGCGACGAGTGAGCTGAAACGACAAAGCTGTCGTAGTCGCGATCGATTTGGTGGAAAACCGCACGCCAGCCTGGAAGGGTGTTCAGGCCCTCCCGTACGTGGCGCTGCAACATGGCTTGTAGGTCATGCGGGGTCGGGAACCGCTGCACGTGGCCAAGCATAGCGTCCTCGTAATACACGCAGCGCTGGCCGTCCTCGCCAGGGGCCGCTATCTTGAGGACGCATGACGCGCGGCCATTCGCCACCTCGACCAACTCGTCCGCTGGTCCATCGTCCGTCGCTCGAAACACCCGCATCGCTCGAGGTCCGGATGTTGAAGCGTATCCGGTCAATGCCGGTTGAGTCGTCATCAGGGGTCAATTTCGCTTCCCCAAAATGGCGACGACCCGCAGCTTCCAGCTTCCCCAGCGCGCGATCTTTTCGGAGGCCGACATGCGCCAGTTCCTTGCATCGGATGTACGCGACCTTCTTCGCCAAATGGTCTGTACCGTGTCTTAGGCCTATGAGCGCCACCTTGTCTTCATCAAGCACCTCAATGAGAGCGTTCGCGGAAAGAAGCTCTCGGACGAGTACACCATGTCGCCCGTACGTCAAGCTCATGGCTGGTCGCGCTAAATGTCGTGTCTACAGAACATCGAGGCGCTCTGTGGCCTCCTTGCGACGCTTAACTCTTGGATCGATGAGATTCCGCCCATTGACCAGCCCATGCGCTTTGGCAACAAGGCGTTCCGTGACTGGTACGATCGGCTCGCGCAGGTGAGCTGCACTTGTGTTGTCTATGTGACCGACCGAGGGCGGTAGGAAGCACCGAAGCTCCATGAGTCCCTTCTCGCTTCGATTGGTATGCAAGACGCCGCGATCGAGCTCAGCCCCTACCTCATTGACAGCTTTGGGAACCGGACGCGCATCGACTATGGCACTGGCCACGAAACGACGTTTATGCTCTGGATTTGTACGGTATCTTCGCGTTCATGGAAGGCTCATCGTGTTTCATAGGCGCCCTGCACAAGATTGGGTTTGTTTCCCAGGCAGACTTCCCCGCTGTCGTCTTGAAGGTCTTCCACACGTACCTAACGCTCATGCGCCGGCTCCAAAAGACGTACATGTTGGAGCCCGCAGGCTCCCACGGTGTCTGGGGTCTCGACGACTACCAATGTTTGCCCTTCTACTTTGGCTCGTCCCAGCTCATTGGTATGTGACCATGTCGAAGGTCGTGTGTGTCTAATGGAGCGCGGTACAGGTCAGCGCACCCTCGCGCCGTCGGTTGTCCACGACGATGGTCTTCTCGCAGCGCACAGTCCCGATTACTTGTACCTGGACGCGGTCAAGTTTGTGCGCGAGGTCAAGGCTGCGTCGGCCTTCGCCGAAACGTCGCCGATGCTCAACGACATTAGCGGCGTACACTCGTGGGAAAAGATCAACTCTGGGATGCTCAAGCTCTACGAAGGTGAGGTGCTGAAGAAGCTGCCCGTGATCCAACACATGCTCTTCGGGTCGCTCATCCCATGCTCGTGGGTGCCGTCGCAATCTGGCGATGCCTCGTACACACCCGTGAGCACGACAGCGGTGCGTGCTGCAAACGCCAATTGGAATGCGATGGGCAAGGCGCCGTGGGCCTCAGCGAATCTCGGCGCGACGACGGCCACTAGTCGCCAGCACGACGACCAGACACAACTTTGAATCTGCGCAATGTAGGATAAAGGCACAGGGTTTGTCTAAGATATCACGGCCTTCACCCGTATCCTTATCTACCTACATTTCATCGAACTGCTCGTCGGCCTCATCGACCTCATCGGCCATGTTCTCGAGCGCCGCAAAGTTGATGCGCGAGACAGCTTCCTGGGTCATGGCTTCCATCTGTTCGGGGGACGGCAACGGGTACCGCGACGTGTACGGAAGCAGGCCAATCTGACGCGAGACCTTGACAGCCGCCGCGAGCTGGCGCTGCTGCTTGGCGCGAAGGCCCGTGAAGCGGCGGGGCACGATGCGGCCGTTGGGCGAGATGAAGAGGCGGAGCAAGTCCGTGTTGAGGGCAAGCTCGACGGGGTCGAGGTCGGCCTTGACAAACTCAGTCCAGGCCTTCTTCGGCTCAGGCTTCATCGGCGTGCGCTTGTGACGAGGCAGCATCCAGTTCATCATCTCGGGAAGGTAGATGTCACCCTGGTCCCAGTTGCTGAACGACTTGTCTTGGAGCGACGGCGAGTCGTCGTCGTCCTCGTCTTCGTCGTCCATGACAAAGTCGCGCTGGTTCTCAACGAGCTGGGCGAGCTCGTCCTGGTTGAGGCGCTGAGGGTACTCGAGCGTCTCCTCGTACGCGCCTTCGCCGAGCGTAAACGTGTGCCCTTCCGGGAGCGTCGGCAAGTCCGTGTGCTCATCCGGGACCTGGTCCTCAGGCGACAAGTTGTACAAAGCATCGTCCGTGGTGCCCACCGGCGCGGTCTTCTTGTCCTTGGCGACGTACCAGCGATTCTTGTACGGGGCCTTGCCTTCGCCTACGCAAGCAGATCAGTCGAGTGGTCTCATCGCTGCAGGCTCCCTACCGTCATTGCTCTTGTCGCTGCTGAAGAAGCGCGCGCTCGTGACGCTTGCGCTCTTAGCGTTCGACGCGATGACACGGGGCGCGGCGGCGGCCAGGCGCATGGATCGGAGGACGCTGGCCATGATTCTCAAAATCACCTCTGGCCAACCAACCCGACCAGATGCAGCATTACCTCGGAAAATCCATATTTATGCATAAAATGTTAGAGTTGGCGCCTCCTGGCGATGTTGTATACACATATTTTGAAATACTGTTTAAAACATGTCATCGCGTACGACTGACGATTATCTCGACATGTACAGCTCTACGCTCAAGAACATCGAGATGTCTATAGTGTATAGTCTAACGTGCAAGGCTTCGCTCCGAGCGCACGTCTCTATTGCTCTTATGTATACTTATTCAATGATCATAACCTACTCCATGTACCCAACAGGTTTTAAACACACCGAACGACAGCACTAATCGTGTGATTGGCTAAAATGTTTAGAGTTGGAACTAGTGAGCCGTTGTGAATTACGGTATGTGTTTTGCAGACAATCTTGGTACTTCTTGGTACTAGTAGCAAGACACTCTGGTTGAGACTATCCATACTCCAAACTTTAAAGAACTTTCGACGACG